ACCTCCCCCTGGTTCTGTAGACACAGTGCTTCTGCAGTCCCAGGACAGAGGTGACAGCTGCCCTTGACTGAATGCTTTGCATTTCAACACTGTCTTCGCCTTCCTTTAAAGTGCCTTCTCTTTCGTTTTTACACTTCACAGAGGATCCTCAGATGGACTTAGCCTCTCCATGCCTCCGGTTCCTCAGCTAGAGAATGGGCCTGCGATGGAGACAAGTCAGGACAGGTGCCAACAGTGCGAGGCCCATAGGAAGGGCTCCTGGAATGTTTGCTAGCACCATCTAGCTGTGCCCCTCAAAGTGGGCCACTTTCCTTCACCGAGTCCCACTTTCTTCATCGAAAATCAGAGGAGTTCAGGGGACTGAATGACCTCCTGCCAGCTTTGCTCTTCTATGATTCTATATGTCTGAGGTGGGGAGGACAGAAATTCCTGACCTATGATGATAGGTGATGAGAGGGTACTGGAAGGCCCCCAAAAGATGAACTAACCTGCTGAAGGTCACACAGCCAGTTACTGGCCAAGCTGAGGTTAGGCTCCAGAGTGCCAAACCTTTAGTTTCAGGCCACTGGGCTGGCTAGGCTGCAGCCTGCCCATTCCTTGGCACCCAGGGGGAATCAAAGCATTTTGTTTGAACAATGAGGGAAATAAGAAATGGAGGTTATGGCAGCCTCTGGGACCAAAGGAAGCTTGTGCAGACCCCCCAAACCCAGTGGTAACCTTCCTCACTGGCCAAGGTTCCCATTTCCAGCTATATGCCCATTTCTTCTCCCAGAGCTCCTCCCTACAGGTCCTTGTGGCAGGCCCTGGATTCTCTCACTGTTTGCTGGGACCCCCAGTAAGACCTTATTCACAATGGGTGATTCTCACTCACCCACACCTTCAAGGAGGCCTGGGCAGGTAAGGAGGCAGAGGCCCAGAAAGGACCAAGGAGAGATTTTGCCGAGCTACCTAGCAAGCCCTCAGCAGAAGCAGATTCAGGACTAGATCTCAGGTTTCTGGGCCCTTGGCCTCATATAGAGAGAAACTCAAGGGACAGGCAAGTCTCCTAGAGCATGAGCCTGGCTTGGAAATCCTAGCTCAGGAGATTTCCCAACTAATGCTGCTACAGGGGAAAATGCTGAGGGCCTGCTCTGTCCCTGGGGAGGCCCTTCCAGTGTCCAGTGTCCAGAATACTGAAAGTTTCTAGGGGCCGAGGCGCAATAATGATGGGGAAGCAGACCCCTAGCGGGGGCACGGCAGGTGATGCCAGCTGAAGACAGAACCAGATGGCTCTGTGAATTTGAGCAAGCAACTTGACTTCCCTGAGCCTGTTTTCCCATCTATAAAGGGGGGATAATGATGGCTGCCCTGTCCACTTCTCAGGGTATGGTGAGGTTTAGCAGAGATAACATGAACTCCCACTAGTAAGCTTGTACCACAGGCTGGGCACAGTGCCCAACACTTTCCTTGCGTCATTTCATTCAAACTTGACCACTGCGTTGAAAAGTCGGCAGAGCATCCCGCCAGATTTGGAAACACAGCTCGCTGAGATCAAGATGCCGCCTTTAAATTCTCAAAGATAAGTGAATAGTAGTGCTGGGATTTGAACCCTGCTCTGACCCACACTTCCCCTTCCACTGAAAGCCCTTTGTCAGTATGATTATTATCAGATTAGCATGGCACAGAGGCCAGCTCGTAATCAGTTTATTAAATTCCCTTCATTCTAGACCGTGCTGTAGAATGTCAGTCTTCTCTTCAGGCCCCAAGCAGGGGTTCAAGGGCTGAGTTGAGACGGGGTTCGGCAAACTGTGACCCGCCACCTGTTTTTATAAAGAAAGTTTGGTTGAAACACAACCACACCCATTCATTTACACTTTGTGGCTGCTTTTATAGCGGCTGACTGGGGGAGTCGAGACAGACATGGAATGGCCCTGCAAAGTCTGAAATACTATCTGGCCCTTTCTAGAAAAAGTGTTCTGACCCCTGATTTCAAACTTTCAAGGAAATACTCTGGATGCAGCTCTGGCCTTTGGCTGAAGTCCACAGCAACAATGAGGGAGCCCCTTGCCAGGGTCCCTCTGTGAGCCCTGGCCAGTTACATCAGGAACACGGGCTTTGCAAAGGATCTCTGGAGGGGCCTCCCATTTGAGGGTTCCAGAAAAACCTGGCTGAGTCTGCAGCCCCTTCTGGAGCTGGGAGCAGAATAGAGTTAAGTCTTCTCTTCCAGTCCCTTTCACAGTTAGCTGGCCTGAGCTCACTCTGGTCAGAAAGAAACTGTGGGTTGAGAAATTTCAGCTGAATAACCTAACCTTTAGGCCTGAAAAAGAAAGTTATATAAGCACTTCTGAATGGCTGCTCGGGCCAGGCCCTATAGTTCCCACCACAGTGGAGGAGCCCAGCCCCAGCTGGTGGTAGCAAGTCAGCCAGGGACTGTGGGAGACTCTGAGATGTTAAGCTCCAGAGGGCTAGTGATCATTTTACACACACCTGCGGGCTGAGAAGCCATGAGTCTGGGTCTGGGTCTCTGTCATTTCAGAAGCTGCCTAAAGTTTTCCAGGTGGATTTGAAGTACTGTTCTTGTTGGTTTTTTTTAAAGATTATTTATCTATTTATTCATGAGAGACAGGGAGAGAGAGAGAGAGAGAGCGAGGCAGAGGGAGAAGCAGGCTCCCTGTGGAGCAGGGAACCCGATGCAAGACTTGATGCCAGGACCCTGGGATCATGATCTGAGCCGAAGGCAGCCCCTTAACCGACTGAGCCACCCAGGTGCCCAGTACTGTTGTTTTCCAAGTGCTCTGTCCCTGAACCCCACCCTTCAACCTCTTGGTCTAGGACTTACAGGCCAGGAACAGTTAAGTGAACCCCCTTTCCTTCTTACCTCTGCATTTTCAAAACCACCCTCTACTCTGATCCTACTGTATTTATCTGGCCAAGATATATGTCCCATATGTCCTGCCTTCTTTTGGTTTGGTGTCTAATTACCTAATTATCTTTCCCTCATTCTCTGTCCCAGGGTCAGACTCGCAGTCAGCCACTAGCATCCAGTTGGTACATTTGACCGGAGGACCCTGGTGACTGCTCCCCTTCCTGCCCCACCTCCACTGCCCACCGTCTTCCTGCCAACTTAACCAGATATGATCGGGCCTCAAAGCCGGTGTTAGTGATCCCACCAGTCCACAGCATGCCGTCTAGATCTTTGGCACTTACTGAGAATACCAAACACACTTTGTACTTAAGTCTTCCCTCTACGGGATCTTCTATAGGACCATAGAAAGGATTTGCATTCTAGAATTTGAAGTCCAGATTCTAGATTCACTTATTGGCTTCAATTCTCTGAGCTCGTTTTCTCATTTCTCACTCGTAAAACGGGGCTCAGGGACTGTGCCACCCAGTCGTTAGGATGATAAAAAAGTTATTTTTAGAAAGAGTTCTGGAAGCTGCACACTTCTGGGTGGGTATTAAGTTCCCCAGCCCTGCCACCACCCCCTTCTCCTTGGTTCATGTAAAATTAGAGCTTTGGGGGTGATGAGGGAGGTAACAGGCCAATCAGCATAAAGCCAGCCCACCTAAACCTCTCTGCCTAACCAGTTACTCTGACGACCAGTTTGCCTAAAAGTCAAAGTAGTAATTTTGAAAGAAGGCATTTTGTACCAATTTTCCTAAGAGGCAATTCCAGCATAATGTCGTATTTTTAAATCAGTATGTCACAATCTGCAGCATTTTGTCAATGATGAGATTATTTTATATGCTTGTGTGTGGCTTTTTCTATTTTATCTCCTATTGAACAGTTTTTTTTTAACAAGCTTTTTAACAAGTTTGTTTGCAGACTCTTTCTTAAAATTCTGTATTTCTAGTACCAAATACCTGCCAAGTCTGTAGAATATTCCACAATATTTATCGAATGCACCTTTCTGATCATGCCCGTCTTCTCGCTGGGTGGTACTCTGCATTGTGTATGCCTGTGTGCACCTAATGAGTTGATTAACCAAATTAGCGTGTACGCATGCTCCTTTCTGTTCTGCAAGATATTGGCGTTTTGACAGCAAGCATGAAGAAGTGAGACAGATGGGGCAGAATTGTATTGAACTCCTTGCATTTTATTTTTCAGGCTTTCTCATTTATCAAGCAGCTCTATTTTGTGAAACATAAAATGATACATACAAAGTCATTACCAAGTGTACTTATTGCAGGAAACATAACCATTTTCAGGAAAGGCAACCTGACTAAAAAGTCCCGAAAGTGTTCAAAAGTAGATAAAATTAGAAGACACCCACCAAGGATATAAAACAGCTTTGAATAGGAATCCCACCTTTAACCAGAATGTCTTTATACCAATTGCTTTGTAAAAAGCTTTAAATGACACCAAAGGAAGAAAAAAAAGGACACCCAAACAGATGCCCAAACACTTAAAAGTGGACTGAACGTTATGGGAACCGGTCATTAAGCACAGAGGTTCCTTTCATGAGTTTGTGGCCAAGTGGTTCGAGGCCGTTTGACCTGGAATCGATCTGGGATGCAGGCACTTACCTCCGTGCAAGGGCAGTATATGGGCACGGGGACAACTGTGGACCTCGGGGGACAGAAATGCCCCTCCTGAACATGATCTTCAAGAGTAAGGGTGAATTGTCAGCTTTTAACTCTTTATTATAAAGACATATTTACACAGAACAATCTTTACAAACACAGTGAACACAATTATGGGAAGGAGACAATTTCTTAAAGAAAAGGGCCTTAATATCTTTGTATAAATTAGTATAAGAATCATACACAATCATTTTAAATAAGACAGGACCCCAGCCACCTACTGCTCTCTTCTGCCCTGTGTCTCTGGACGTGACCAACTTTCCCCCCTAACCCATGGGGCTGGCTGGACAGCTGCTGAGGCAGGAGACGCAGAAAGGAGGAGGGAAAAGAAGACCCAATCCCTGGTGGGGGCATCAGTGGCAGACGAGGCTTTCTGGACCCTGGCCAGCCCCCACTGCCAGCCTGAGCGCTGTGGGGGAAGCGGGTGCTCAGCCCAGATCCTCAGGATGGGCCTTGAAGCAGCAGCGGCAGCAGCAGCATCAGCAGCAGCGGAAGTGAGGGGGAGAGGCGGTTAGGCGACGTCGGGGTTACCATGGGACTCGGAGGGCCCTGACTCCCCCTGTCCCCACACATACATAGGTGGGCCATCGGGCTCTGGTCTCCCATATCCTCCCTCCTGGGAGGCCTCTGAGAAGGAAGCCTGCTCAGACCTGTATTTCCTCCCATCTTTCCTTCCTTCCTTCCTTCTCTCCTTCCTTCCCTCCCTTCCTTCTTCTCCCCCTTGCCCCTCCCCTAAGGAAAGGCCACTGGGAAAGAAGGTCCAGTCAACGTGAAGGGAAGGCTACCGAGTCCAATTACTTAAGGCTACATCCTGGCTAGCGAAAACCAGTATTGGGATTGGCATTGGCATGGGAGACTCAGTACCTGAGCTGTCCCTGTGAGAACACACGGGCTTTGGTAGCGCTGCGGGAAGGGGGCAGCTGGCCAGGGACCTTTTCAGCCCAGGTCGGGGAATGGACCAGCAGGGGCAGGCCAGGGAGGCAGGAGCAGCTGGGTCCCCATACCACCATGGGGCAGTTCATAGCTGGCCTGCCCCTCCCTTCCCAGCCACCCTCAGCCCCAACCACGGGAAAGGCACTCAATGTGTTTTGAAAAGATATCATCAAGAGGGAAGAGGACATCATCAAGTGGGAGTGGGGAGACCTGGGTCCTCATTCTGGCTGTGCGGTGACCCCGAATAAGAATAGGTTGCTGTCCCTCTCCAGGCCTGGTTTTACATGAGTTTGCATAAGGAGGCGGAGCTGAGTGATCACCAAGGTTCATTTTGGCTCTGACATTCTTTGATTCTTGGCAAAAAACACTCATCCTGTTTGGCTTTTGCTCCTGGGAGGGTATAGAACCATCTCCTGAGTGAGAGCTTGAACTAGCAGGCAAGGGAGGGAGGGAGTTGGGGGGTGAGGTGGGAGACAGTGTTAGGAGACACAGAGAGGTGACAAAGTACTTCATGGCCCCTCTCCTTCACCTCTCCCTGAAGCCAAACATGGCATGTGGAAAAGGCCACAGCAGCTAGTCCTCCTCTTCTCCAATGCTTTCCCACTCCCCTTTGCCAGAGGACTGAGCCCCATTCCAATGCCCCCCAAGGCACCTTGTCTGCATCCCAGTCAATGCCCCAGCCCCTCTAACCAGCACCTCCTTGAAGGGTGAAGGGTCCCTTGGACTCAAAAGCCTGGGACCTGCTGGAGGCCCCTGAAGAAGGGAATGTTCCCCACCCAGCCCCGGTGAGGGAAGGAAGGGCTGGGCAAAGCTTGGGCTGTTGGGCAGGGAGAAGTGGGGACTAGGGGAAGGGGAGGGCCGGGGAGAAGGCCAGCCTTCCAGTGCTGGGTCTCCAAAGTCAGTCCAGGGAAGGGCCAGGAAGAGGAGCTGGATGGATCCGTGGAAAGAAAGGGAACCATCCGAACTAGGGGCAGGTCCACGCCATTCGGGGAAGCTGGTGGGTGAGAAGAGTCGGGACCATCAGCAGTGAGGACAGGTGTGAGAAGAGAGGCGAATGGAAGTGAGGGCTCCAGAGAAGCAGACCAATCTATGGAGTAGCCAGATTCGCAGGTGGTGGGCACTCAGGGGCCCCTTCAGTCCTAAAGAGACAAAAATGACCAGAGAAGAAGTCACCGACATGTCCTAGGTCAAAGGAACCAGCCGGGAAAGGAAAGGAGATAGCCTTCGTTTCCCTCTTCCCACAACCCTGAATCTAAAGCCCAAGAGTTGGCGCCACTTTGTCGGGGGTATAGAGGTGAGAGAGCAGGCCAGGCCTCAGGGGCAGGCTCAGGCCTTGCTTTCTCGGCTACTGCCTTGGATTTTTCTTTCTTTCCCATGGCTCTGGGCAGCGCTCTTCTTCTTCTCTGCCTGCTGTCCCCCAAGGCACTCTGCTTCCCTCCCCTACTCTGATGAAGATTCACCCTGCACACCAGTAGGATACCCTGAGGCACTCTTCTCTGGCTCAACAAGGTCCCCCCAGGACTTCTAGAACTCTCCAACTGGGCCAGCCTGCCCAACCCCAGGCAGCAGAGTGGAGGGGAGTTGGCACCCCATTCCTGGGGAGTCAGGAGATCAGCCCCAGGTGTCAAGCCCCTCTCTGGGCCTTGGTCTCCAAGTCCATAAAACAAAGGGGTAAGATGGGTGCTCTGTAAGCCCCAATGTTGCGTGCGGGCCTGGAAGGGCTTGGTGTGGGTGTCTGGCCTGCGAGACACAGCAGAGTCACCTTCCTTCCAGGCTGTCCCTCCCCTGCTCCTTCGCTGCCCATTAACCAAAGGCTCAAGTACCTGCTTCAGAAAGGCATGGGGCCCTTGTGGGAGAGGCGTGGCCGCTGGCGGCGAAATTTCCTCCGACCGCCCTGCCAGGGCCCCGGTCCATTCCTCGAGCCTCTGGGCTGCACCAGGTGGCGGACGTTGCCCTCCTCCAGCCCCTTGCCATCAGCAGGCTGCAGCAGGGGCCCTGCAGGAAGAAGAAAGCCTGTTAGCCAAGAGGGCTGATGCGAATGGGCAGAGGTAGTCCTCATCAAGGCTTCTCTTTGCTTTGACCTTCCATCTTGGTGAACAGTTTGCCATTTTTACACTGGCCTGGGCCAAAACCTACTACTCACATCTTGCAATGTATGGAGCTGACTTTACGTCCCTTTGGCAGTTCTACCATGTTTCTAGCAGGCACAAACATGTTCTTCATTTAGAACATGTGGGTAGAGTATGGGGCATATGTCTGCACTTGGTCAGGGCGCAGCAAGAAGAAACTCCCCATTGTACCCTGGCAATGGATACACTGAAAACATTTCACACATAAAATGAAATGAATCCCCCGCCACCATGTCCCCATCACCCAGATTCAACAGTTATCCAGGTGGTATCACAGAGGCTTTTGTTATCCCTTTTGTTTTTTTCCTCTGTGGAAGTATTCTACAGCAAATCCAGAACATCATGTCATTGTCCTCCGACATCCTTCAATCTGCAGGTGACCCACCTTTGGGGACTTGAGATCCCATCCCTCACCCCTGGACATCTCATCAGTTTTTTGGCATTCCCGAGGCTCCCTTGCTGATCACAGGGAGATCCCTGTAATCTCCCTGTTGGCATGGCTGGGGTGGGGGGGGTTGTCTCTGACCCTGTGTCTCTCTGTGCCTTAAGCTGGGTTCTATTCATATATTCTTAGAGGCCAAGAAATATTATCTGAATGGATGAGTGAACCAATGAGTGAATGGTCACTTGAGGCAGCAAGTCTGGTCATCAGGAGCTATGTGAGCTCCTGCAGCTGGCACCTTCCCCCACCGAGTGCCTTATCTCCTTTCATCCCCACATCACACCCGACCCCGTGTCTGATGTAATTCCTGCCATTTAGATTCCTGGTGGCTTCTCTCCAGCTTTCTGGCGCTCTGCTCTACATCTGCCCACACCTGGCTTGGAGGAGAAGGCTCCCGATGCCAGGCCAAGCCCTGACAATGGAACCCGAGTGGTGCTGGGTGTTCTTGGGTGCAGTGAGGGAGAAGTCACCTGGGCCGGCTCTCACAAAGGCTGCAGCACAGCCAGGGAAGGCGAGCTTGCACTCTGGAAACAAGCCTGGGCTCTGGAAGCAGGCCGAGCAGGGAGGTGAGAAGGTGCTGGGCAGAAGGCGGATTGCAGGGAACCTGTGCAATATGGCTTTTGAGGTCAGTGATCACAAATCCCATGCTCTCTCCTCCCACACCACTGGATTCGCCTTCAGCTATATCCCGGCCCCTGAAGCCCCATTTCCATCCATCTGGGCATCCCCACAACTAGCTCACAGTTTCCATATCACCACCCGTTGGCTGCTAGCCCCCCAGTCATACCCCTGGCTGCTCTTCCTTTCCCTCCTCCTTCCTCCAGCATCCCCATGCTTTGGTTCCTCTGTTGGCTCCTTGGCTCTAGTGATTTCTCCTCCGTTTGCACACAATTTCCAGGCAGTTATCCTCCTCTTGGGCCAAAAGCAGGCGAGGTTTGTCCTTTGGGCCCTCCCCACCCAGGCTCTGGGGGCCTGCTGCTGTCTCAGACATGCAAGCCCACTGCGCACATGCACACACTCTAGTCCCCCACTCCGCCTTCTCCAAGAAAAGTCACAGGCCTGTTAGGACCCTACTGTTTGCCAGCCACATTTCTGTGCTTCTGGTTGGGGTGGGTTAATGCATCAGCTCCTCCCCCAGTGAGAATTAAAACCTACCACGTAACAAGAATGAAAACATAAATTATGTTCACATTTTGGGGCAGTGGGGCAGGAGGCAACTTTTGTCTGTCATAAAGCCATTTGCAAAAGGGCTGAGCCAGGGAAGGAGAGAGGAGGGAAGGACCTTCACTAAGCACCCCCACCCCTGACTTCAGCTGCTGTAGCTTCTGCCCTATGTTTTGGGGGTCCCCTTAAGGCCCTCCCTGACCACTGAGGGGGTTAGGAATGATGCTGATGAGGAGTCCCATACCAAAGGCACACTCAGGGCAGGAAGGACTGTGCTGAGGGTGTGGCCAGGTGGAGGGAAGGACCCTAGGGGCCTTGATCGTGTGAGGCCTTGGTTCTTGAGTCCGTGACCCCAACTGCTAGGGGCGGAGTGGGTGTGGGCCGATGACACAGATTACAGCTTCAGCGGTAGAGTGGACATGGAGAGTGCCCAGATGGGTAGGGTATCACCTCCAAATATTCAGCACCCAGGACTGTGAATGTTGGTGGCAGTAAGGGAAGGAGGGCTGGGGTAAAAGGCCCTAAGTGGGGGGGAGGCCAAAACCAGGATGGGGAGTGGGGATGGTGGCTCAGACTCCGGCCAGGGAAACATCTAGACTCCAAGCCGGTAGAGAAGAACTACCTTGAGCTGACTGAGCACTCAGCCAGGCCCTCGAGAATGGCCACCCAGAAGGCCCCGGCACATTGCACCTCCTAGGCGGGGGGCTCACTGTCCTCTTTGTAGCCAGAGGTCTGCAGCTCCTCCCACACCCTGATCCCATCACCCACCTGTTTCCTTCTGCTTTTGATTCTGCATCTGGCTTCCCCTACAATAAGTTGACACCCGAAATGCGAGCTTTCTCCTGTCCATTTTAGAGGCTGTAGATTCACATCAGAGCGGAGGTCTTGGCTGCACAACAGAACTGCCCTTCAGAAACGGGGGCCATCCTCAGTGCACTTAAATATTTTCTTCTAACTCATGTGCTGCTTCAACGGAGGCTGGGGGCAATCCCCCAAAGAATCTGAAGCCTAGAGGGACTGGAGCACCATCAGAATGAAGCCTCGGCCTCTCCGCACTGAGAGCAGCGCGCAGGGCTGAACAGGGACTGGTTTTCTCGAGGCCTGAACTCCAGCCCCGCTGGCGCACAAAGAGGTACGTGTGACTTTTCAGGAACATGCCAGCCTCACCAGGAATGACACGGCTGCTTCTCCTCTCGCCATCTAGTCTATCTGGTGACTGCTTTAAAAGCCCTCATAAGTGCTTGGTGGGGGGACCCTGCTGGGTATGCCCCCTCCTGGCGCTGCAGGTCTCTCCCTGCTGAGGCATCTGTCCTTGGACTGCTCAGCCCTCCACCCCAGTGCCCTGAGCTATCTTCCCATGCCAGCTTCGCTGACCTTGGACATGTCACGCCCTGGCAGCCTGGCCCTCCACTTCCCTTGCGTTAGTCTTCTGCCCCAGAGGCCTGACTCAGGTTACAAGAGTGCTTAGCACTTAGGAACTGGGATGGAGTCGAGGTGCCCCCTCCCCGAGAGGGTGAGGTACACTAGGCTGTACTTACACTCGCACTGTGACTGCAGGCTTTGAGCTAGGGCTGAGGAGGGGAGGAGGAGAAGGAGGGAAAGGGGCAGAGGGGTGTTCAGATAAGAGCAAGAGACACTTGGCCCTGGCCCACCAGCTCTCAGACCCAGAAGAGCAAGGTGTATCTCAGGTCAGGAAGCAGTGGAGGAGTCTGTGTGTGTTTGGTGAGGGGGGAGGCACAGACATTCCAAGTCAGGACAGAGTGCACTGTGGAGGGAGCAAGGTTTTCAGGCCTGGGAATTTTTTTTTTTATGATTTATTTATTAGAGAGGGGAGGTGTAAGCAAGAGTGGGAGGGGCAGAGGGAGACGGAGAGAGACTCTCAAGCAGACTCTTCTCTGAGTGTGGAGCCTGATGTGGGGGGTGGGGAGCTCAATCTCAGGACCCTGAGATCATGACCTGAGGTGAAAACAAGAGTCAGCCACTCAATGGACTGTGCCATCCAGGCACCCCCTGGGCCTCTGGGACTTTGACTGGAGACTCTGGCTGGGGAGAGCATGCAAGCCTGGGCCAAGGACAAGGTGGTTCTGGGGTCCCTGTTTCTGACCCAGGACGGGAGGCAGGAGGAGCAGGACATGAGTACCTGGATCCTTGGCTGGTGGCCACCTATACAAAAGTGTCCCTCCTTGGCTCCTAGAGATGTCACGAGGGGGAGAACGTTGTGAGAGCCCAGTGTCCAGTGCTAGGCTTAAGCAAAAGGTGAGGGCAATAAATTTACCAAATAAGGGCACAAAGGTAGATGACTGAATAAAGAAGGGTGAATTAAAGCAAGAGGTGACAGGGTCTGCACCAAACACAGTGTTCCCTTCCCTTGAAACTAGCTGTCCCCTTTACCAGCTGGACCCCTAAAGCGTCCTAGTAGTGGTCAGTTGCCCAAGGGTCTCCCCATAACCTCTGGGGGAGCCTCAAGTAGGCAGATCAGGAAGCCCCAGCTTCCTCCAGGACACCCTCTCTGTACCCACTCTTTCTTCCCTGACGGTACCACTTAGGACTGTTTGCTGGTGGTGGTGTCCTGTGGGTGTCTCATCTTGCCAACTGCACTGGATGGAAGGCACCGGAAGGGCAAGCCCACATGGTGTTCTTCATTCCTATCTTCTGCTCTCTGTTAACCTGCCTGACAGGAGTTTCTGAGGAAAAGGCTGCTCCCTTCTGAGGAAAAGGCTGCTCCCTTCTTACCAAGGAAGAGGCTCCTGCAGCACTTGGGCGCTGAAGAAGACCACTGGACAGCTAGCTGAAGGCAGTGGGTGCCAGAGCTAACCTACGCACCTTCCTGAGAAGCCAGGCTGTGCTCCCAGGGTGAAGGCCCTTCCGAAAGGCAAGAGCAGAGAAAGGAGGCAGCCTACCGAGAGAGAAGTGGAGGCTCGCCAGGCCCTTCCGCGGCTCCTGGGCTGCAGGCCATCCTCCTCCTGCTCTGGAGAGTCTGAACTAAGTAGGGCCCCGTGCCCTTCATCTAGGAAACTGCACTGCCCTCTCCTTCCCTCTGCTCCCACCTCTCTGTGACTCCAGCCCTGGCACTGGCATTTGTCCACCTGGTCTTGGCCTTCCCCTTGTGTGGGGCCAGGCAGGCAGCAGTGACAACCAGATCACAGAACTGTGGAAGCTGGAGGTAGGAGCTGACAGCCCCAGGAGACACTGACACACAGGGGAAAGGCAGCTTGGGCTGGGGCTGCCAGGGCATTGCTGGGACCTGGTCTGGGGAGAGCAAGGGAGCACCAGTGCCAAGTATGCCAGGTGAGGGGGGTGTGGTGCAGGTGGGGGAGAATGGTCTTCCCCTCACAGAATTGCATGGAGGTGTCAAGTCAGGTGTATGTTTCCTCGTGTGGTGCCTGGAGACAAGGGACCTAAGGTGAAGCGTGCCTGTGCCAGAGCTGAGTAAAAGGCTGGAGCCAGGATATCCAAGGAGGAGGGCCCAGGGAAGCGCGGAGTCTGTGGGGAGGACGTCTTGTTCGGGAGCAGGAGAGCAGACCAGATAAGACCTTGGGGCAAGGGAAGAGAAGACCAGCCTGGCCCGGCCCTGCCAGCTCGGCCCGGGGAAGGCTGCCTCTGCTCCCATGCGGGCTGAAAGGAGCAACAGCTGGGCTCCACGCCGCCGCCCCCGCCGCGCGCTCCTGCCTATGCAACAAGTGTCACGTCTGCATCTTGGCACATCATCCCGAGTGGCCCGCGCCCCGCGACCGGCGCGCGGCCCCTAGCCTCCAGGGGCCGGACAAGCTTCAACTCGGGAGGCCAGACCCCAGGCTCAGGTCAGGATCCCTCCACTGATCCGTGGGGAGCGGGACATGCTCCCCCCAGGCACATACCCTCCACCACGTGCGGTGCAGGGCGCGGGACCCTGGGCGCACGCCCGCGGCCCCGAGCTCCTCGGACTTCAAGGGGCCGCCCGGAGGGGCAAGGCGCCAAGCGGGTGATGCCCGAGACCGAGCCGAGCCCCCTCTCGGAGACAGCCGTCGCCCCAGCCGGCCCGGTCCCCGGCCCGGGACGCCCTGTCAGTGAGTCCGCGGCCCGGCGCAGCCGGCGCGTGGCTGCTCCTGCTCTCCTAGCGCCCGGGTCCCGGGAGGCTGAGAGCTCGCGAGTCGGGGGCAGAGGGAAGGGAGAGCGTGGGCGGCGGTCCAGGAGGGCGGCGAGGGGCGCGCGGGCGAGCCCCGGGGCACGCACTCACCTCCACACGCCGCAGTCAGGGAGAGCCAGAGCAGCAGGAGCGCCTGCACGCAGCGCCGCAGATTCATGCTGCTCCTCGGCCGCGCCGCCGCAGCCCGGGCCAGGGGGCGGGGAGGCCGGGCGCCCCGAGGCTGGGAAAGGCGCGAGCCGCGGACCGTGCGTGCGTGCGTGCGGGCGCGGAGCTCGCGTGGCTCTCCGGCTGCGCCGCGGGCTGGCCGCCTGCCGCGCCCGCTCGCCGCTGCCTCTGTTACAGCCTCCCTCTCCTGCGGCGGGGCAGCGCGGCCAAGCGGGCCTCCGCGAGCGGCTCCGGGGACCGCGGCAAGCTCTTTCCAGGAGGCTGGCTGCTCGGCCGAGGCTCCAGCTGCCCGTGGCCCAGACTGCCAGCGAGAATGCTCCCCGCTCACTCCAGGGGCTGCATTTTGTAGCTTGTGGCTTGGCCGCGAGCCCACTTGGTCATGTGGTCATCGGGAGGCCTGGAGGGGGGGCAGGAAGAGGGAGAGGGAGCGAGCCTCCCGCACCGCCCCCCTCCCAGCACGCCTTCTGCAGCCCCAGGCTGGGCGCGAGAGGGAACCTCGAGGTGGCCCCACAACAAAGGCGGCACGGCCGCTCTGACAACCCACAACCGCTCCCAGGACAATGCCCGCCTGGCCGGGGGCCAGAGGGTTTCGGAGACCTGAAGGATTTCAAACACAGGAAGCATTTGGGGCGGTGGAGGGGCACACTTAACCCTTTCTCACCTCCCTTTCTTAAGGGCTGTCAAGGAACCTGGGCGCTCCAGGGAGGGCATGGCCCAGGCTGCCCCCACTCATCCCCTCCACCTCTGACCGGCTCCTTGCCGCTGCCACTCCAGCCAAGACCCCCCCCCCCCCCCTGGCCCCCCTTTTTCCTCTGCATCTTCTCCATCCCCATCTTTGGCTGGGTTTGTGTTGGGGGTGACTGTTTAGGCTTGTGCCCAAGACTGCTTGATTGCCAGGGGCCCCCAGGAGGCACCCTCTACTTGGATGCCCACCCCACCCCATCCTGCCTCCCAGCTCTTCCTTCTTGCAATAGCACCTCAAATCTCATCTCATCCAGAAGACTTGCCTGGGTGACGGTAATCCAGGAAGGGTTGCCTCCCCCCTCTCCCCGCCCTGCCCAGGGGTCTTCCTCGCTGTTGGGACAAGCAGCAACTTCTAGGGTATCCCATTTCATGTTCCCCATCATCATGAGGTGGACAGTTTACCCAACTCTGAACAGTCTAGACTGGATTCATTTTGCCCCTATTTGGGATTCTCCCTTTGTAACTGGGTCCTGAAGTTGTAGCTTTCCTAAGCTAGACTGTCAGCTCTTACAGGTTGGGAGCTCCTAAGGGAAGGGAATGCCTGTATCAGCGGGCTGGGAAGCCCCTAAGACAAGACCTTGTCTTCTCATTCTTCGGCATCTTTCCAAAGTCCCTAGTATCGGACTGCACATAGGTGGCACTCAACACATGTTAAAAGACTACATCAAAAGGTGTTTCCGCATTTCAGCTAGCCAGGCAGATTCTGGAAGTGGAGGTCCAGCTTTACACACAAAAGTACATTGGACAGTGTGTATGTGTGCCACAGACAATGTGAGAGGCCCTGGTATATTTAAAATATTTTTGAAATGTTGAAACCATCCAATATGTACACAATTTGTTTATTGTCAGTCTCCCCCCAACAAAACTGTCAGCTCTGCAAGAGAGGGAGCTCTGCTTTGTTCATAGCTATAGCCCCAGAACCAGAACACCAACTGGGACAGGGCTGGTACTCAGTACATAATTATGAATATATAAATTAACTTTTCAAAACATTCTTATTGCCTCAATCAAGGCAGTGGGAAGGGAATAAAATAGAGTTCCTATTAATTATCGATGGCCCCATAAGCCACAGCCCAGTAGGAAAAAGGCAGACATGTGACACAGAGCACCTCTCATCATCTATAAGGCCTAGGCTGTGAGCAGTGGGCAATTGTAATATGGCATCATTTCCCCTGGTGCTGTCCTGCTGGAAAGTCTTCCAACCAGGAGGAAAATCACCTGGCCTCTGGTCTCCTCTTATGAGGTGTAGGACCTTGCCAGTGTCATCTACTTACTGGATTTCATGAGGATGATCATCTCCACCCTCCCCTCTTCAGGGTTTTTAGGGAATTAAATGAGATAACATATCTGAAGGCACGTGCAAATGGGGAATAAACCCTTGTAGGGTCGTTTTTAGGAACCGTGACCCTCCATACCCCGATTGATCAAGCCCAAGCAACCCCAAACGTGGCTTGCCCCCAACACTAGGTTAATAGAAGTGTTTCTATTTAATCTCACCTTTACTAGGGTGTGTATGGGTTATTTGCCAAGTGGTTAGAGATTCACTTTCTAATATGGTAGATATGAATAACATTTGAAATAAATCGAAAAAGTCATTTCCTCCGTGGCACTGGCCTCATTTTAATTGCTTAGTAGCAATGTTTGGCCAGTGGCTACTGAATTGGACAGCACAGAATAGAAGCTTCCAATCGTTGCTGAAAGTGCTATCGACAGTGCTGGGTTAAGCACCTTCTTCCTTTTTCTATAATCCTTTTCCCCACTTTACCTAATCTTCAAAATACACAAGGGAAAAAAATAGGAAAACACACCAATAGTATTTAAGGCAAGCAGCACTCAGTAAATAGAAGGCATGCATTTAAAAGCAAGATTTAAAGAGCTGAACACGGGGTGCCTGGGTGGCTCAGTGGGTTAAAGCCTCTGCCTTTGGCTCAGGTCATGATCTCAGGGTCCTGGGATTGAGCCCCACATAGGGTTCTCTGCTCAGTGGGGAGCCTGCTTCCTCCTCTCTCTCTCTCTGCCTGCCTCTCTGCTTACTTATGATCTCTCTCTGTCAAATAAATAAATAAAATCTTTTAAAAAAATAAATAAATAAAGAGCTGAACACATGGGAGAATCATCTTTTAATCTAACCCTTCTCTCCATTTAACCAAATTGCAGCCATTTTTCCAGTCCTGAATCCAAGATGTCATCTTCCTCCTTTCTCAGACCTATAACAGCTATGGTTGTACCTTTCATTGGCAGTCACTCCTGCGATGAGTTGGGAACACTTTTGTATTTGCGTGCCATGCTTTATGGGGCTGTGAAGAAGGTCCACCACCAGCATACCTTCTGGAATTGAGGCACATAAGACAAGGAATGCAACTCTGATTGCTCACTCTGAAACCCCCACGGGATCCCATATTTCTTAATGTCATATTCAAGGGATCGGTTTTCGTATCTGTCTCCACTCACCAGACTTAAGGTCACGGAAATGATTGTACCTAAGACAGTGCCTAGCACATACTTGGCATTTGGAAACTGCTTGCCGAAGAAATAACTGTTGGCATAACTCCGTGGTGCCTTTGTTCACTTGTTCAAGAAAATGAGACTATTGAGTTAATATCAACAAATAAATGTTTTAAGGTGTTTCTTCAGGGGTGAGGAGGAGGTATATGAAACCACCCTCACTCTCCTGCCCTGAGGCAGCAAGCAGCTGTGAAGTGCATTGTTGCACGGGAGGTTTGGGTCAGGGGCAAGACTCAGTTTCCGATCAAAGTCAGGGGCAATCCTGGGGGCAGGGGTAGGACTCAGTGGATTACTGAGATAACCGACCTGCATGAAGCCACTCTGTGACTTGTCACCCTCATCACTGCTGTGTACAAGCTATTCAACATTGCTTAGTGTCCTGTCACCATCACCACCATTGGTTGCTGCTGTTCCGTGGACTCACCCAGCTCTCTGTCCTTTGGGTTTGTGCGAGCACTGTGCTGTCTTAGAAAGAAGTCAGCTTTTGGAATTTCAAATAACCGAATTCAAATTCCACCTCCCCAATCTCATTCATTAACTGTGTAACCTTGGGAAAGTTATTTAACCTCTCTAAAACTCCATTTCTTCAGCTGTTAAATGAGGGTAGTAATAGTACCCACCTTATTATGCTTGCGAGATTAAATGAGATAATGCAAAGAAAGAATTTAGCAGCATGGTCCCCGGTAATTGCCATTCAATGTTAGTTTTTTCTTCTTCCTGACATACCCCTCCCATTTAGGGCTCTGGCCTCAGGCCTCTTGAAACTGATCAAGAAGGAAAGTCTCTGTCTTTGCTTGTCTCCATCCACACCTGTCTTTTTAGTAGCCATCACAGCTGCTCACTGTCTTATTCCCCAAAGGCACCAATCTCTGCTGGTGCTAGTCTGATGAACGCCCTTGACTCCGAGAGTTAATGTGTGATAGTGGTTTGAGGTTTTGCCTCCTAGGTATGGTATACATTTTAATGGGGGCCTTTGGGTGATAATGTCCTACCCTAGGGTAATATCAAGCTTCACCCTTTTCTAAAAAAGATCTTATTTATGTATTTGAGAGAGAAAAAACACAACTGTGGTGGAGGGTTGAGGAACAGAGGGAGGGGGAGAAGCAGACTCTCTGCTAAGCAGGGATCCCGATGTGATGCAGGTTTGATACAGGGCTCGATCCCAGGACCCTGAGATCGTGACCTGAGCCAAAGGCAGATGCTTAACTGACTGAGCCACCCAGGCAGCCCAAGTTTCACCCTTTTGAAAAAGGGGAAACTTTAGTGACTTTCGTTTAGCTGCTCTAAATAGAGCTCATCCTGCTTCAGAGTCAACACAAAAAGGGATTACCTTTGGCAATTTACAACCCTACTTTTAACCTGTATCCAGCCAGTGAAACCAGAGTGCAATCCCATTCCAGCCCATTCCTCTTCGCCGGTCCCCAAAGATGATGATGATAATGCTGATATAGCTAAAATGTATTGACCATGCACCATGTGTCAAGCACTGTTCTGAATGCTTCACGTGTGCTAATTCATTTAAATGAATGAATCACACCTATGAAGTAGCCCTATTCCTTATCATCCCCATTTTACAGATGAGGCAACTGAGGAGTACAGAGGTTAAACAATTTTCCCAGACCTGCCTAACCTCAAAGCCCTCACTGAAGGCTCTTCCCTCACTGAGCTTTAAGAAGCAAATTCTCACATCTCGAGCCCTATATAACAATTAATTTTTACTTTAAAAAGATATTACAAGTAAAAATGTATTGACCTTGAGAAACGGTGCTGGTATATTTAACACTGCTTCTAATTTATCATAAGAATTACCTCCCAAAGATGTTAATCACAGCTGGATTGAAAGAGTATTTGGGAGATGTGGTACTGGTGTTTACATAAGTATATCACATTATAAATCTACTGGATTTACATTATAAATCTACTGGATCCAAAGGGATTTGCCTTTGTGGAATTTGAAACAAAAGAACAAGCAGCAAAAGCTACTAAGTTAGGTCCAGAACCTTTGAAAAGAAAGTTTTTCTTGACCTTCCTGAATTGTACTCT